ATATATATATATATATATATATATATATATATATATATATATATATATATATATATATATATATATATATATATATATATATATATATATATATATATATATATATATATATATATATATATTTATATTTATATATGGTATTATTTTCAATACGCCCGCATAACGGATCGCAACAATTTTGGTATCGTTGGATTCCTCTCACTCTGCAATCCAAATATGTAGGTTTCATTGCTCGGGAGCCCCCCCCCCCCAACCTCCACATTCTTGGCCCCGATAGCATGGGAGGGCATGGGAGGCACCAGCGAAATTGCATATTTATATCCCCATGTGTTAGTACGGTGACTGATTTTGTGTACAGTATTTACATTTTCCCCCAAAATTTCCCTGGTAGTTTCCCCGCCTCCTCTGCGATCGGGACCAAGAATGCGTGGGTTTGGAGGGTTTCCGCTAAGTAATTTCTGTATATTTGGACACTAGAGAGTGAGTGGAATCCAACGATACCAATTTCATCACGATCCATTATGCGGACGTATATATATATATATATATATATATATATATTATATAATATATATATATATATATATATATATATGTGTGTGTGTGTGTGTGTGTGTGTGTGTGTGTGTGTATATTATATGTATATATATATATATATATATATATATATATATATATATATATATAATATATATATATATGTGTGTGTGTGTGTGTGTGTGTGTGTGTGTGTGTGTGTGTGTGTGTGTGTGTGTGTGTGGGTTTGTAAGTTATCCTAAGTGAGTCTTTATTGATTAATTGTTATGGTTTGTAGATAAAGATTCTGGGGATTTAAATTGTTATTTTTTGTTGTGTCGCAAAGCGATGCTCTTTTGTTCTTGTCGTAAACTTTTGTTTTGGTTGGCGCGTCAGTTGTCTTCCGGTCCGCCACATGAGCGCTGAAAATGATTTCATCTCCTGGGTTCGAACGGCCACATGGCAGAATTTCAGTCTGGTCTGTCAAGTGTGCATTACAGATTTGTGAAACAATTGGTGTGTGAATTTTAGCGTCAGTATTACAGACCAGGATCATCATAAGGTTACTGTTTATCATTTCTCGAGAAGAATTGTTCATAAGTTGCTCCGATTTCTTTGAGCTTTTGCCTTTGCATTTTGTAAACAGTTAACTGTGATATTGTGTAACGAGGATGTTGTGATTCAGTCTACGTGAAGTTTGCTTCCGGGCCTTAGGCCAATGTTTAAGTGTGCTCCGTAAGTTATTTGATTGTTGATAACTGATCAATGGGCAAGATTGATGGATAATTCAATAATTTATCTTAATGCAGTCTATGCGGTTTTATTTGATTAAGTTGTCTTTGAAATGTTATTCTAATGATTGATTATCTTTTTCAAACGTATTCTGTATTATTTCTATGTGTTGTATTATTGCTTTAAAAATTTCATGTATATACAAATTTGTATTAGTGCTATTTAGCATATTTTGCTAAGCAACTGTTTTAACATCACTGATTTGAAGGTTGGATCGCTATGCTAGCAATTTATTAAAGGTGGACGCGACACAGCCTGTTATTACCCAGCAGTCTGACAACAGCCGTGCCAGGCGAAGGACAGGACTCGGAGCCTTCTAAACGGAACAGCCTGTCGGCACAGGAAATGAAGGAACCAGACCAAAGAAGGAAGCAGCGAAGAATTGCTGAAGGAAGATTCACCACTAGAGTAGGCGTGCTTAATGATCTTGTTCAACAAGAGGCCATTGAGTATCTTCATTGCGAGTTGTGGCTTATTTGAGAGAATAGAAAACATTAGTGATAAAATATTGGAACAGTCAAATGAAGATGCACAAAGTGAACATTTGTGTACAATGGTAATTTGCAAAAGTTAGTGATATTCAAGAGAAACAGAAAATGTACCGTGAGATAATAATTGTAACATTCTCATCATGAAAGTGGAGCCTCCTACATTTAATGGAGATATCCGTGAATTCCCCACATTTTTTAAGGATTATACAAGACCTGTAATATCTCGTCATGGTAAAGAAAGGCCATTCATACTTATGCAGGCACTTCAAGGGAAAGCTAGAGGTGGTTGGGAGGCTCTGGGATTTCGCCCAGATGAAAGAGAGAGACAACGGAAGACTCGGTTCCTCAGTAAAAATAGTAGATGCAATACTTAGAGAAATTACCTCTTTGAAGCCAGTGTCAGAATGTAATAAAGCGAAACTACTTCATGTGATGAGTGTAGTGGTACAAGCCTGGTTGGACTTGAGAGGAATCGGAAAGATAAAAGAAACAGCAAATCATCATAATTCAACCAAAGCTGAAAGTTTGCTTCCTGTTGACTAGATAAAGAAAGCATATTACTAATGATGATTAAGATTATATCACAGAATCTAAGCATTCTTTGACCAAGGGAGCAAATTAACAACGAGGACACATACAGCAGCTCCCAATCTAAGCGTGAAACGTACAGAAGTAAGCATGTCTAACAAAAATTGGAAATA